ATATGTTGTGTGTGCTCATTGATAACATATTAACATGTCATTTGTGAATGCTAAAGAGTGTTATTTGTATTGATTTCCGGTGTAATATATCTAATAGTTTATTGCGTCATTGATAGGTGTGGTGTAATCATTATGTTATTTTACATCTAATACAGAAAGTTATTGTTCATCCTTTAGAATCACCAAATTGAAATATTTTGATGTATTGTTAAATATGCATATTCAAACATTAAGAATACTATTTTAAAGCACATTTTGATATGACAGGTTGAATAAGGAAACATGTGATTTGCAAAAAAATGAAGTATATTTTCATATAATGCATGATCTTACGTGGATTCCTCAACAGCCCTTTTTTGTCTCAATCGGGAAATGAGGTGAGCGTTCATGTGTCTGATAGTTTACTTTTGATATATTATTTAACAGGGTACATTATTCCAAGATACAGCTCCAATCTTTTGTAGTGTAACAACGAAAGAGAAGTATCATTTTGGGCTGTTTGGTTTCATGTGAGTGAAATTACAGATCTCTCTCAAAGCTTTTAGGTTATGTCTTTTCAATTTGATGGTCATGCTTCTCTCCTATGTTTGTGATGTCCAGTTTTATTCTGATTATGGTTTGATAAGTTCCTCTGATGTCTTTTATTTTCAAGTTAGATTAATCTCATTTGTTTAATTTCCACTATTTTTTTTAGGTTTTACGCTTTAAAATAATTCTATAGATGAAAAATGCAGAATTTTCATTTTCCCTCATATCCAACCTAGAGTAAATGACATCTAGGTCAACTCAAATTTTGGCTTATAGCTATGTAGTAGTCTATGTTTGGGATGAAAATAAGGAAGGTGACTGAGTGTACTTTCACTATTCGTAAAAGGCTTGACCTCAATTTTGAACATTCTTATTTCAATTAATGCAGATTCTTATTTTCAATTAATGAAATAATAGTAAAACTACTATTGCTAAAATTATTATTTATTCATAAATATGGACATGAATAAATATTTTTATATTCGGTTTAGTAAAAGTGATTGGTGTAATACTAACCTCAACATAGCAAAAGAAAATCAAAACTATAATGATAACACTTTCTTGTTTATTCCCAACCCTCCTCTCTCATCTCGTTTTTCCTTTCTTCTTTTTTTATGGTAGGTTTAGGTGTTATTACTCTTGAACCTAAGGGGCATTACCCCAGTAGTTGGTCAAGCCTAGGAACACTACTCCAATAGGTAAGATTTCCTTGCATTTCTGAAATATATAAGAGAGATTTATTGGAATAAAAATAATCACAATAAATTGTCTCCAATGAGAACAACATCCTAGGGTTCATTCATTTTCTAAAATCCTCAATGTTGGAGCGATTTTCATTTCATTTTTGCTGAACTTTAAGACTCTCTGGTAGAGTTGTCATTGGGTAAGCTCCGTATTTGAACTACTCTTTTTTGTTTTGAGTTTAATTGTTTTTGCACATCTTTTTCCTTTGTTTTCCAATGGGCACGGGATTACATCGCTAAAAAGGGGAAAAGTTTGGGAAATTTAGGTGTTTTAAATGTTAGAGGCCTCCCATAAGTTAATTCTTTGTGATGTATTTGTGCATCCTTTTTTTTAATAAAGTACATTTTTCTCGCTTTACCGAATGTTGGGCCCAACCGTCGCGCAACGCGCGCGCCGAAGCTAGTATATATATATATATGACTAAGTGACACAAAGACTCTTTTCATTCCAACTTCGATCATTGAATTCATCAAAACTTCATATAATCATATTGTTACTAATAATTATGACTGTCCACATTTATTAGTAGTAAACCAGTAATAATTATTATTGTGTATTAATGATAGTAGCAATGATTATTTTGACGATCATACGTACTGAGCCAAACTTACCTAGCTTGTTGCTAAGGACCTTCAACGATTGTCTAAATGGCCTATTGTGGTGAGTTATACTTAAAATAAGGATCATTAAAGATCACCTAATTATTGCATACCTAACAAATTGCCAAGGATTGAAAACAAGGGTTGACAAGCATAGTACTAGTCGCAAATTATAATCATTACAGATTCCAAACACATTGCATGGGATTAAAGAAATATCACAAGTTTTTACATTTTTAATAGAAAAACGTATACTCTTTTTTGTAAACAATACGTAGTAGTAGTATATCAAAAGTAAAAGTACCATTATTATATAGACATTTAATTCGTAATGACCAATGATCTTTTATGTTTCCATTTTACTATTATTCATTTGTTTTTAAGTTCAAATACAAATTAACCCAACAAAGACAAAGAGAGAACATTTAACACATGATTTTAATTGGTTTTAAATTTGAAAAGGTGCCAAAAAAAATTTAGACTTAGAATGTTTTTATTTGAAAAAGGTGCCCATAAAAGGTCTATTGTAAAAATGTGGAAATCCTAACTTATCTGATCTGATTTGAACTAGTTTAGTCTGATCTAGTCTGGACCTGAAATAAGTTCAGATAAAAACATTCCAACCATTACTAGATAGGCTTGCTTACCATTACTAGCTAGGCAGGCTTGCCACAATCGAAAATTTGGGTAACCTCGCGCCCCATCAATGGAGATACTCTAAGTAGGTCCATCCGTAGTTAATTTGTTATTCGCAAGGCATCGCAGCGGAGAGGCTCATAGTTCCGTGTACCTCGTGATATTTTTAAGTAAGACTTGGAAAGTTGGATAATACGTAGTAATGCATTTTTTGTTGCATTATTTAGACAAAAAGGAATAAAAAATGTGAAAAAGTAGTTTTCAAGCTATATAAAAAAAATTGATGCACTTCTTATTGTCTAAAATTATAAGAGTTGCCTGGTACGACTAGTAGTCCAGGTTGCAGGAACAGTGTAGCTGTGTAGGGGATTGGGTCAGGAGGATGAAGATGAACGGATGGTGTGTCCATCAATGGACGAAGCACGAGATACGGGCAGGATTAATTACCAACGGGTGGGCATTGCTATTATAGAGAAGACAGTGAAATTCACAATGTTTAGTGAGAGGTATTGGCTTCTATGAGGTGCCCAAGTAAAGCAGTGTTTGTTAAGGAAATTAGAGACAAAAGGTATTTGTTTACATTATACAGTATCATGAAACTGTGTGTTGGATTGTGATCCTTGATTATTTGAACAAAATCTTGTTGTCTTGAACTAAAAGCAAAGGACTTGCCGGTGGTTTTTCTTACCCTAAAACGGGTGAAGGGAGCTGGGAATTATTTAGGAAAATTTATTAAAATTGATGAGAAAACCAGTTTGGTGGATTATGGAGGGCATACCTCAAATTGATATTGGAAAACCTCTAAAACGAATACGAGAATTCGTAAAGAGGACTTTAGGTATGAGAAACTAGCTACTACGTGGTATCAGATCATGTTTTTGCACGTGGTATCATCACAAGTTTTGTACATCAGAACCGGAAATTCGGAATATGTGTCTCAACCAAAGGCATTTAGACTATGGTTAAGAGGGACTACAGGCCGACGCGGTACGCATATTAAACCGAAGCACTGCTCTGGCTAATAATCAAGATTTTGAATTACACTTTCAAAAATTGCCCTTAAAAATGTTTTGAAATTCCAAAATAGGAGTATCATATTTTTTATTTCCGGAATAGGAGTAATCTGCTAAGTTTAGAAAAAAAATCCACGTTTAAAGCATTGTAATGTCAAACTTGACAAAAATTTACCCCTATCCAGGGAATAAAAAACATGATACTCTTATTTTGGAATTTCAAAACATTTTTACTCCTATTTAGGAAATTCTCTCTTACACTTTTAAAGCAGTACACATGCAAGTTTTTTATTTTGAATTTAAAATAATATGTTGTGTGTATTTGATAGCAGGGGCGGAGGCATGGGTCAGAGTGGTCAGCCGACCCCCTCAAAGTTTGAGAATATATAGCACTTAATACCATTGATTTAATATATTATGACTCTTGTTACTCATTATGAGTAATCATTTTCTGGCTCTGCCACCGTTTAATTGCTTCTTCGAATACGCCTAGGATTTGATTTAGAAGTCAAAGCCAAAACGATAGAGAAATATTGTACTCTGTATTATCTCTATTGCAAGAGCTGTTCAAAACGTCACAATGATTTCTTCGAGGGTATTTATAGCTACAAACGTTGATATAAAACCAGTGAGGCAGTGAGTGATCTATACGTGTCTAAGCTCATAGGTAGATGTTCGACCTATCGAGCAGTGACAAGTGTTGGCCCCCCAAGCGTGTCATAGGCCCGACGTATCCGGTGGGTGACGAATGTCGAGGCCCTGTGCTAACCTGGGAGAGATGGTATAATCGGTCAGCTAACTCATAGGATTGTGGTGACTTTGGCCTTGGGTGGTTAAAGCCGGAGGTCAGGGGCGGAGCTAGGGCACTGGGCCGGACTGGGCCGGTACAAAGAATATTTTTAGAAAAAATTTTACACGAGATTTTTTACCTTAAAAATTAAGCTATTTTTAAAATTTGGGGTGAGCCTAAGTTGGCCCACCCCTAGCTCCGCCCAAGCCGGAGGTTACTGAAAATCTGAAATGTGCGTAACCTTCTGTTTTCTATATGTATTGGCCCTGCAAATGTTGTGTGCATTTGATATCGAAGTAGTCATGTAGATTTTTATGTACTAAATGAAAACTTTAAAATATTGCTTAGATAGATCAGGTATTCTAAGTCTAAACTAAATTAACTTTCTATTATTCCTTATTCTAATCAAGGTATTAATAACTTTCATATTCATGAAAAAAAATTAAAATTAAACTACTTTCAGATTTTTTCTCTGTAAATACGAAGTACGGAGTATATCACAACTTAAATTAAGTATTTGCTAGATCATAGAAACCCTAATCAAAAGAGAGTTTTTGTAGGCAGTGAAAGTACAACGATATACTAATGGTTAAAAGTCAAAAGTGTAGCCTTATACATCAATCAATTTTTATAGCTACAATTATTGACTAAAGTTAATAGTCAAAAGTAGACACAGATTTTAGCCTTAGTATTACATGACACAACATAATTATACAACAATGTATTACCTATTTCAAACACACAAACGTACTTTGAAATACAAACTTATCAAACATCTTCAAAAAATATGTGACCAACAGCTTTTCATGGAGTGTTTCAGATGGAGAACATTATTGAAAGAAAGTTTTCCATTGACGTAACATGAAGCATAGAAGAAATAAATAGTTGTCAATACTAAACTTAACAACGTATTATTATTATTATTATTATAATACATACTCTGTAATAAATAGCCATTTAGTACATCACATGATCATAAATACCTAACGTGATGAAAAGATTTCCATGAACCTATCATCCTGTAAGGAACATAAGATGTCTATGCTAAATGCAACTTTAACTTCATACATAATCAGCCAGTTGTGATATTTAATTACTCAAGTACCTGACTCAAGATCTTCTAAGAGCATGTGACGAAACTCATTTTGTTTGCGCCAAACCTAAGAATCAAGTTAAGGTGCTAAAAAGACTTATTATTGACCATGGTTTGCATTTGGGTGATTTGAACAACACCAAGTTTTCTGCTAGAATAATAAGAAATCGGATAAAAATATAAAATCTAAATTCTAAATATATATGTTGGAAAATTTCCTCAATAATAGAGGGTTGGGTTTTCATGCCAGCTTACAGCTGAGAGTCAAAAGCACAAATAATTTCACACTTCACGTTAATGTATTAAATCAACCACTAAGCTTCGGGCTTATCTAACAGCCTGTTATCCTAGATATGAAAGTAACTAAGCCATACTGCCGTTTTACCATCAAATGTGTAGGCAATCAATTTAAAGTTTCTAAAAATGGCTACACATTTTAGGATTTGGATCCATTGAAAAATTTAAGTAGCCTTACTTAACCATAGTTGATCTCCGGTCTCTCTTCAGAAGTGTGCTTTCCAGCTTCAATCATCAGTTGTTCAATGTATTTCTTTTCTTCATGGATGCCCTTCTTCTCAAGTTCTTGAACAAGTTTCTTGTGCATGGTTTCTGTTGGCAAAATCCCTTTCTGAACTGATTGCTCAAAGAAGGAGCAAGCACGCTTGTGTTTCCCACACCTACAAAGCCCACTAATTAAAAGAGCATATGTCCCAAGATCCAAGCTGACATCATTCTGGTGCATGTGGTCTATCAGAAAAGACAAAACTTTCATTCTTTTTAGTTTGCAACACATCTTCAACAAAGGTGCATATGTGTCAAGGTCAGGCTTGCATTGACACTCTTCCATTTTCTTGAGTAATTTGAGTGCCTCCTCTTCTTTCAAGCTCTTGGCAGCATGACGGATCATCACATTGAACATCTGCAAGTTAGGAGTTATTCCTTGTTTGGCCATGTCCTCGAATACATCAGTGGAACCACCGAGTCTTCCAGAGCTATATAGGATGCTGATCAGAATCCCATAAGCATGAGCATCAAGAAGACTATTTTCCTTCATTTTCTCATATATCTCTAGAGCCTTATTGTGCTCCTTAGCAAGTCCATAGGCTTTCATGACTATTGAATATGTAACTACATTTGGAGGGCACCCCTTCCTTTGCATTTCATCTAAGGTGGCTTCAACTTTGCGAAAATCTTTTTCACGACCATAAGCTTCAATAAGGCAAGTGTAAGTGACGGAGTCAGGAGAGAAATCATGCCTCACCATATCTTGGATGGTTCTCTTGGCTTTCTCTATGTCGTTAATTTTGCACCATCCGTGGACTAACATATTGAATGTAGTTAGATTTGGGGATGCATGAAGTTTTTCTTGTAAATAAACATCATAAGCACGTTCCACACTTCCACCCTTCGCCAATGCATCAATTAATATATTCACCATATTTGTATCCTTAGGAACTCCAAATTGCTCAAATCTTGGAATTGCCCCTATTGCATCATCATACTGACCAGCCTTTGCAAGCCTTCTAATGACTACAGTGACGGTTTCCAATGTGATACCATAAAGAACACTCATTTCTTCCACAACTTCCCACATCACAACAAAGTTCCTTGCCTTCCCCAAGTTATCAATAAGCAAATTGTACAAATAAGAAGGGAACTTGAAGTTTGATTGAAGCTTTACCCACTTAAAAAATCCATATAATTTTATCCACTCAAAGCTGAATCTTTTCAAAATTTTCTCCACGAGTTCTTCAGACACATCAACACTGAAGACATCTAATGCTTGAACAACATCATCTGGAGACTTAAAATGATTCTTTAAAGTCTCTGATATTTTATCAACATCAGTGACAGCATCATTTTTTAAACCATCGACATCAATTTCTTGTCTACTAGGTTTATCCTTTTCAATCCAATCCCACAATGAAGGTATTACAAAATCATCATCATCATCATCCTCAGTTATGCCAGAAACACCCTGTTTTGTTTTATCAGGAAATTTGACCCAACCTGGAAGATCTGGAGACTCAGTTGTCTTAGGCAGGTCATCAACTTCACTCATCCCTGTCAGCGTGCATAATCTGTTGGAAAAGAATGCATCCCCTTCACTGAAGTAGTAATAATTGTTTCTAAAGATGTTCAAATTTCCTCTGCTCCCAGAACGCCAGAGTTGCTGGAAATGCTTCAGCTTCAACATCGTTTTTGAGAAACCTCACAGGTGCAAATCAATGAGTAGCAAACGGAGTGAGGGCTGAGATTTGAAAGAAGTCGGCTTTCGTTCGATAATAACCGGTGATGTACACTCGGATCTGTTTGCCACTGTAGACCTTTGGGCGGCGCTTGTTTCCGATATTTCTAAGTTCCAACCCCAGGATTGCTTCACCTGTGACTCTTTGTTCACCCTACATTCGGCTAATAATTAGTTGTGCTTTAAAAAATTTGGGAAACTTTGGTCATCTTACTTCTATAATAAAGTCAAGTAGGTCTAATTTTCAAAAACTCAATCAAATCCCCAAATTTTGTAAAACGTCTGATGTAGCACATTTGCATGTTACTTGTCATGTCAGCGGGTCACCCGCTGACGTGACGCAAATATGTGGGTCCATGTGTGCGTCACGTCATCAACAAAGAGCTGACTGAACTTCCACATGTGTGCCACGTTAGCAAAACTATTGCTGATTGGGCTGCAACATTTGCGCCACGTCAGCGAGTGACCTGATGAGATGGCAAGTAACCTGCAAATGCACTCAATTGGAAGTTTTTATAAAGTTCAAAGATTTAATTGATTTTTTTAAAAGTACGAAGACCTAATTGATTTTTTCATGAAAGTACGAGGACCAAATGTATAGTTTTCAAGTTCTTAAAAGTTTTTTTTATTTATGCCCACATTTCTTTAAATAATTTGCAACCAGTTATTGACATTGTTGAGGTTTATTCCTTCAACCTTCGGGCCCAACACGTAAGCCCAAAGATTTCGAGTGGAGTGAGTGTATGAATATCTAGCCCAACAACTATCAGATGGATCGGGAAAACAGAGGAAATAGCAGGCAATGTAAATAGGTATTATTAACTTCGTAATAACTCCCCTAAGTAGAATCTACTTGCTAAAAAGGGCACGTCGGCCGTTCGTCTTACGAGGTAGGGCAGATGCTACCGGTAAGAATACTATAGCTAGAATGCTAAGAATAGAAAGTTGCCAACCCTTTACAATGAAATAAATGCTTCTATTTATACCCGCCAATGGGCAGGTGGCTATGCTGACGTGGAGGCCTGTGGACCGCTGGTGCCCCAACCACCAAATCTTTAGCATTAAATGCACTTCCCGCCAGAATCTAGGTTTCCCGCCTAAATAGTGGGGACGTTCGTCCGCCCGGGGTGGAGCTGGATCGCTCCAAGTGATCCTCAAGAGATTTAGGCTGTTCGTCTCCTGGCCTTGAGGGATTCTCACCATGTGGACTGGATTTCCTCCGATAGCTATGGGCTTGTTCAGGGGACGTCCGTCGCCATCCCTGGTGGCCCGTGGTCCTGCTCCTTGTCCCTGCATAGACGTCTGTCGCGATGGACCGTTGAGCCAAAAAACCCTGAATACAAGACGTTCGTCCTTTCCCAAGGAACATGGGCCTGCAGCCAGCCCAAGGACGTGCGTCTGGTAGAAAGGGGCTAATGGGCCGGACCTCGGCTTGGGCCATTAACCCAACACAAGTCCCCCACTTCTGATGTTCTGAGCATGCGCAGGACATAAGGAAGAATTGTCCCTTGAAGTAGACGTTCGTGTCTTGGTACTTGTGTTTAGTGCATCCGGCGGAAGCGTACGCTCATGGTCATGGTGCTTAACAGCTGTCGACGGTTCAGGAAACGAGGTGACGGCTGCTGTAGCGGCGGTGCATTTTCCGAGGAAATGTCATCATTACGCTTTCGCTCCACGCACAGCGCGTGAGCCGGAATACGCTCCCCGCCATGTGTCAGTGTCTCGTTGGTTCCCCCATCAGTGTTTCTCCTATAAATGCCGGGTTTTCCCTCTGGATTAGGGTTCCCAATTTCTGCTCTCTTGCTTCCGAATTCCCGCAGCTCTTCAAGCCCTCTCCTGCTTCCAAGTTCGGCTAATTCCTCTCTAAGGTAATTTTCATCCTCTGCTTCTTTTTTCTTGTCTTGAATCCTCGCCGAGATGGTTTCGATGGAGATCTCCTCAAGTTCTGGTTCAGGTTCATCGGGTTCCTCCTCGGGCTCCTCTTCCGACTCCGGTTCACGCTCTTCGGGTAAAACTAACACTTCCGGTAGTTCTGGCTCGGCCCCTACCGTGGGAACTGTTCAGGCCGGGGAAGCCCAAACTGGTGTTGTTGCGAGTGTCCCTGGTGAGGAGGGTGCTGATTCGGGGGAGCAAAACAATATGGTTCTCGATGTGGTGGACCCCGCGGCTGATGTCGGGGAACAGGAGTCCGCCAGTGAGGACGGTCGTCCGGACGGATATGATTCTGGGGTCGAGGCTCAGGACGGCTCCGACATCGAGGTATTTGATCTCGGGCTGAAGATAGATGTGGAGAGGCATCTATGCCCGATCAAGAATGTCCTCTGCCACGAGCAGATCTTCTCACCGGTAGCCCTTAACAAGCTCAAGGTGTTCTTCCCCCCTCCGTCCGTATACAGCCTCCGTGGCGCAACCCACGTGATGAGGAGACGCCCAGGGATGATTATGGTGCTTCTGGACTCCATCGAGGCTGGGCTGCGCTTTCCTCTCCATCCGTTCTTCGTGGAGTTCTTCTGTTGTTACCAGATAGCCCCCGCACAACTCATGCCGAATTCCTATCGGTGGCTCTCCGCCTTCCTAGTCCGTTGCAAGGACAATGGGGTCACCGCCACTTTGGACCTGTTTCATTACTTCTACCGGCTCACCCCCCAGAATTCTGATGGTTTCCTGAGCATTGCAGCCCGTCCGAAACGGAGGTTGTTCAGCGGAGCACCGAGTTCCATCCATGATTGGAAGAATCGGTTCTTCTTTGTGCGGTATGCGGATGCTCGTCTGCCATTGCGGTGGAATGGCTACCCGCCCAAGATAAGGTCCCCGGAGCTGACCGACGATCTGGCGGAAGACATCAGGAAGATTTCGACGGGCGGCGTCCGACCCTTGGATGATTTCCTAACTTTCGAGGCACTTGCCGCGGCAGGAATAGGTACCGCCCATACTCTCGGGCATCTTTCCTCCTACGCTCGTCTCGGGGTACTGGGCGGTCCTGACCTCCGAGGTGAGTCCCTCCTGACGCTCGTCCATCTAACCCATTTCCCTTCTTTTTTCTTCCAGGTCTCCCCCCAACGCAAGAACAAATGAATCACGAGAAGCTCCTCAAGACAAGGAAGGGCAAAGGCGCTGCTGCCGATGCTGCCCTTGCCAAGGCCAAGGCCGCCCAAGTAGCAGATTCTAACTCCTCCGCCTCCCAGGCCGATCGTCGCACGGTGGAGGCGGAGCAGCACCTCATTGCCACGGTGATGGCACAGGGGTCCCAGGCCCCCATCCTCAACCCTGTCGTTCCCGAAGTCGTGGCGCCCCTACAGGCCGTTCATCCGCATGAAGGGGAGAAGGCGAAGGACAAGAAGTCCAAAAGGCCTCGGGGGGCTTCCTCTTCGGCCCCCGAAGAGCCGGAGTTGGTCCTTCCCTCCCTCGGGCGTCCGGCCCATGATGTCTGGCAGGAGATCGCCTCTCTGGTCGGCGTGGAGATGCCTCCCCGGACGTCTTCGGAGGCTTCTAATGCGGCTCTGGCCGCTGCTCTTCAGGTAAGACTTTTACTCCGCATAAGGTGCTTGATTACCTCACTCTACTGCTTTGAAGTCTCACTTCCCGTATTTGATTTGAAGGTCGGGCTCTCCGTTTTGCAGTCTGAGGCTGCCCGAGAGGCCGAGGTCCTCCAGGCGAGGAATAAAGCAGACGCTGCCCTGAAGAAGGCGAGAGAGGCCGCTCGTCTGCAGGAGAAGGAGCTGGCCGCCAAGGACAAGGAGCTGCAGGCCGCCCTGAAGGTAGCCCGCGAGTCCTCCGCGAAGCTCACGGCCCTGGAGAAGGCTGGATTCAAGCTCGTCCCGGCTCTTCCCGCCCCCAAGGATGAGGCCCCCGAATGGCTCGTCGACGATTCGGGGTATCACAACTCCGGGGCCTTCATGATCGCCGCCCAGAGGTACCTTGGGGGTGCTTTTGGTGATGTGTTCGCCGCTGAGCTGCAGAAACAGGCGCCGAGGGACCGGCTCAAGTTCGGGGTCCGAGTTCTGGAGAGCGCGCCCCTGGCCGAGAAGTTCTTGTATGACGTTGGGGATAGCTCCTTTGTCATTGGCTACAACGAAGGGGTGAAGGCCACATTGCCGGTCTTCGCCGCTCTTCAGGGGCCCAGATTTGACCTGGCCGAGCATACCTCAGACCGGAGCTGGTCCGGGCGGTGGGCAAGTTGAGAAGGGACGCCCGGCGAGAGGAGGCCAGAGCCAGAGGGGAGGTCCCGGAGCCTCCGTCCCCCGAGCCCGAGCCCGAGGAGGAAGAAGAAACCATCCCTGGGGGGTCCCAGCCTGTTTCTCCGAATTTTGTGTAATGTAACTTGTAGTTTTCTCATTTTGATTCTGTACTTATCCGGCCAGTAGAGCCGAGGAATACACAACTCTTTTGCCCCATCATTGTCTCTACGTTCATGGATTCTTCCTTGACTTCTTTTATCGTTAATAGTATTTTGCTCTTATGGAGTATAACCCAAATTCGTGAGGACGTTCCTGCCCATTATTCGTTCCTGTATTCTTAGAGGTACAAACGTATGCTTGGGACTTTGCTTCGTGTGTGTAGACCACCCCCAATGCCGTATTCTCCCGGACCAGAATTGGTGAAGACGTCTGTCACGTGATTGTAGGCTCAACCATCTGTGTTGCGCGCGCCCAACTTAAACTTGGTGGGGCGACGTTCGTCTGTACGACCAGACGTGGAGATACGAATGCGCTCCTCAGAAACAATGCCTTGATGGAGAAGTTCGCCGTGTTAGGAATAGCATACCTTTTACGCCCTGTGTGTAAGTCAGATATCAGTCTCGGATGTTCGTCTGGTGTGAACATGGGAATTACGAACGTGTCTCGTGAATACGCACGTCTTCCTGTGGGTGCGATCTCTGTTTGCCCCTATGGGGGACGTTCGTGGCATCAAACCGAATCTTTTTGCGGTGACCGTGGGGTGAGGACATCGAGGTGCCTTTAATACCGCGGTAGGCACCGGTATCTAGGCGCCACGTGTTCCACCGCGATAGGCGTGACCCCGCGGTGCTGCCTATAAGTACCCAAGGTCTCGCGAATTCCCCATTTGCTTCATCCTTAGCTCTTGTGCTGCGCAACTACTTTCTCTCTAGCTTCTCCCTGCATCGCCCCAGGCTCCAACACCCGTAGGTACCGA